ACTGGTGGCATCAAACTCATGACTGCAAAAATGGTTTTGTGGCTTCTTTGAACTAAGTAGCATCATTTAGTTGCCAAAGAAAGGTTTATAATAAAATTGAGAATGGAAATGGGGAATGTGTCAAAGAGACAACAACCCGACCATAGAACAGACAACAGCAGAAGGTCACTAACAGGTCTTCAATGCAGCGAGAAATTCCCGCACCCAGAGGCGTCCTTCAGCTGGCCCCTAAACAAATATATATATATATACTAATTCAGTGATAATGAACGCCATACTAAACTCCAAATTGTACACAAGAAACTAAAATTAAAAATAGTACAAGACTAACAAAGGCTAGAGGCTCCTGACTTGGGACAGGCGCAAAAATGCGGCGGGGTTAAACATGTTTATTAGATCTCAACCCTCCCCCTATACCTCTAGCCAATGTAGAAAAGTAAACGCATAACAATAAGAATGTGTTTTGGCAGCTGAGCTGTACACACTGAAAGTCTGATTAAGCATGATTGCATATAATTGATTCAAAGCAAGGCAACTTCATGTAACATTACAAGGATATAGATCAAATTTTTGCATCTAGGGCCTAAGGGCCTAAACTGCCACAACTTTTAAGATTAATTTAAGCACTTAGGAATTTTAAGCTTAAGTTTAGGAGCCCAGTTTAAAATTATTAGCCTGGGCTACTGGATCCCTGCTATCTTTTTCCCTGCATTTAAATATCTTCCCGGATATGGTTGTGATATTTGCCACTGGATTTTGTGTACCCATCATCATTCAATTAATCCTTCATGACTTGGGGCTAATGTTAAAATAGAAATTCATTACTGTATTTCTGGCAACAATAAACCATATTACTCCATAAATTTTCACACTGTTCAGGCCTCTACAATAACTTTTTTTTCAACTTGCCCAATAGGACAAGTACACATCAAAACTTACTTGTCCGAATGAAATTGTAACTTGTCCAAAAAAAAAACTTAATATTAACCTTTTTTGCATTTTAAGTTGATTCAATGAACATAAGAATAGAATTTGATTTATATCTATTGATATCCTTTTCAAAAATATGAGTCGAGAACAACTGAATCAAGTCATGTCACAGGATTTAGGTTCTAGTTTTCATCAATGCCAAAGTCTCATCAGACTCTGCGAGCTGAGGGAGGGAAAAATTTAGAAAGCGATCAATACAAAACTTTGATAGATTATGATCCACTTTTTCGAAACTCAAACTATAGTAAAAAAAAATTTTGTTTGAAGTATTTACGATGTTTTAAACAGATCTCATTAAAAAGTATCATGCATGGTGCATTATTTAAACAGGGACCCAGATAGCTTCAACTGGATGAAAAAGTTGTGTAATTTTAGAACTTATCCCGAATGGAATAAATAGCGATTAGGTGTATTAAACATGGAAGGATTGGTTTCCGTGCCGGTGCCGAACTGTCTTGTTACCTTATCTACCAAGCGCATTCTTGATTTCATATAAGACTGGTTTCCGAGAATATTACGCGTTTTATCTGTTATAAAGTATCTGTCAAAGAACCAGTTTTGAATTATCGATTGCAAGTAAACATGGTAAACATGTCAAATTAATATTTGTTTTTATCTTTTCTTGTTTTTTGTTTATTACTCAATACTTTGTTCATCAAAGTTGGATTTAATTTATTTTCTACAAAATGATTTTACTTGTCCCGTCGGACAACCTTGATCTAGCTTTAACTTGTCCGACCTTTTTTTCCTCTGGTACCGGACAATCGGACAAGCGTTATTGTCGAGCCCTGCTGTTCAAAATATTTTCATGTTGTGTTCATTTTCAAGATTGCATGGCACAGATTTGATATTTGTGTAAATTTATTTTAAGGCTTAAACCCAATATAATTTCTATTCCAGGCTAAGGATGAACGTAATGAATAAAGTGTTATTGTTATTTTCATTCAAAACAAAAGTTCACAGTTTGGTAGCAGTTGTTGAATTCAATTTTTAGCCATAGATTAACACCAAGTGTCAATTTTTATGTTAGAAATACATTTTGGGAAGGCGAGTAATATTTACTAAAATGGTTTAAATTTTTCATAAATACTATAAATTTAGAAGTTTCATTTCTGTATAAAATATTTGACACGTATAAAGGACAGATTTATTTTTGGTACATTTGCCCATAATTAGACCACTATCCAGCTGAGGACAAATATATATATATAAACAATAATATTTACTGTCCAAATCTTTAACAATGAGCAAAATACCACATTATTAAAAATCTTTCCATAAAACAGCAGGGTGGTAAGAGTTGGTATACAGAATTCCAGGCTTATTCTAATATATGTTGATCATTTTAACAGAACAAGCAAGAAACACAGGTATTTTAGCATGTAATGAAATGAGAGTCAATTGTTTAACATTGCTGTAAAGTGTGTAACCCAGAGTTCTCAAAAAGTGGTGGTCCTAAGGTTTTGCCACCAAATTTTGCAAAGGACCGACATAATTTTGGTATTTTTGCAATAGAAATTATAGTGAGGACCAGCAGATTTTCTTCAAGGACCACCAGGCAAAAAAGATTTCGAGAACTCTGGTAACCTCAATGACAACAATTTAAGGAACAAAATTAATTAATGATATTTAAGCAAGCAATGAAATATGGGTCAATTGTTAAACCTCAAAGACAATAATTTTAAGAAAAAAATTTACACAATTTAAGGAAAAAAATTAATTAATGATGTTAAGGCATGTAATGAAACAAGAGTAAGTTGTTTAACATCGTATATTAAGTGTTTAACCTTAAAGACAACAATTTAAAGTGAAAAAACACAAAAGTAAACAAAAATAATTAATTAATAATGTTTAAGCATGTCATGAAACGTGAGGCAATTGTTTAACATCATGTGTTAAATGTTTAACCTTAAAGACAACATTTAAAATAAATAATAATTGATGATATTTAAACATGTAGGGAAACAAGATTCAATTGATTAACATAGCTGTTAAGTGTTTAACCTTTAAGACAACATTTAAAAAAAATAAAATAAATTAATTATGTTTGTATTAAAGACAACAAGTTAAAAAAAGAAAATCACAAAATTTAATAAAATGAATATATAATTAATTTTAAAGCATGTAATGAAACGTGAGTCACATGTTTAGTATCTTGTGCTAAATGTTGAACCTTAAAGACAACAATTTTGAAGAAAAAAAATTTCACAATTTTAAAGTAAACAATTAATTAATGATATTTTATAGGCATGTAATGAAACACGAGTCAATTGTTTAACATGGCTGTTAAGTGTTTAACCTTAAATACAACAATTTTAAGAAAAAAATTCACACAATTTTATGAAAAAAAATCACAATTTAAAGATAAAAATTCATTAATGATATTTAAGCGTGTAATGAAATGCGAGTCAATTGTTTAACATCGTGTGTTAAGTGTTTAACCTTAAAGACAACAGACGTGTTCTTTAATCCACTGTCTAATTGCTTGATCAATACAGAAGAAATGTAGAATGTTGTTTGCTTCACTCTCCCTACGGCCAATTATAGACGAAAGGCTAATAGAATTGTCACAAGTGAAATCGTTGGGAATTCACATCTTCAGCTCGTTTAATTCCGATCGCGGTTTGATTTGAATGGAAAGGCTGTCGTCAGTCCTGATGGGGTAACCGTAACAGGAAATATGATTGGATTTTTCGATTATCTGTCGCAGCGTCGCGGATTACTTTGTAATGACTTGTGTATGTTTATCAATTTGTCGTAATTTGTTAGGAACACCTTCTGAAGTCATCCAATTGTTTTATCTGGCTCAGGAGGAAATTATAGTTCTCTATTTATACCAGTCATAAATAACAGTGTAGAAAATTGATTTAAAGTGAATAAATTTACACATTTGATAACAGAAGAGGCTGCTAGTCTTTTATATATTTTGCAAGGGGTCAGAGGTCATATAAACATTAATAGTTATTTTGAGAGTTGAGTAAAATTGTTCAAAATAGTGGAGTTCTAGTTATAAGATTTTTAAGACTAAATTCAATTGACTATACAACATACCCTAGTTTAGTTCAGTAGGATTTTGATGGATCCACCCGTCCACCCATTCACTTTATAAACAGGTAAAGAATGGACAATACTTCTAGAAAGTGAGCTGTACCCACATTATGCAGTTGACCGGCCATTTATTTTCTCCCATCATCAGACTTACCTACAATGTCTTGAAAAGATTGAACTTTTTTCTGTTCAGTTTTTTGACAATATTAATGAAGTTGAATATGAATGGGCAGGAGTGGATTGTAAATGACTGATTGAATGTTGGTTTTTGACACCACTTTAAGCATTATTGGCTATGTAGTGGCCGCAAGCTTTTATTTGGTTCGTGTGAAAGGTTGGAAATGAAATCCCCCTGAACATCAAAGATTTAGACTTAGAACTAGAAGTTTTTTTTGAAACTCAATGTTGTATTTATCCCCCCACCCCCTTCCCTTATTTTCAATGAAATAACAAAAATTTCATTTAACTTCTGGAACAAATTATTTTTTCTCAGGAAATTTAAAATCAAACAACATACCCGAACTAAAAATGAATGGTGGGTGCTTTAGAAGAAAATAACACATTAATTTTTGTGTAGCCGAGGACATTTCGTTGTCAGATCCTTGTAAGCAAATGAGGACAAAAGATCTGTCATGTTTGTTTTTCAATCAGATTGACACCAATTTCACCCAATGATTTAGCAAAAGTATTAAATTCAAAAGCTTTAAATTTTTTGTTTGTTATTGAATGTGCAAGGCTAAAATTGAGAAAAAATGCCATGTTGACTTTATAGGTTTGGCAAATGGGATGTTCAGTAGATTTTTCCACTCCATACACATACCCACCATAGACTGTTTTAAGTGACAAAATCTTCCTGAGTTGCAATGTAGCTTAAAAGATCTGCTTTTAAAAATTGTTACATTGTCAATGTATATTTAAAATTTGAAATAGGCAGTTGGATGAATTTTGTGTTTGTTTTTCAGGTATGGATGACGGAAATTGGCAGCAAGCAAACCCCCCTCCAGGACATTACAATAATCATGTAAGTCTATTTTCGTCTAAAATTTATAATTCAATTAAACAAAATTAGAATGAGAAATTTTATAGTAAATAAGTAGAAATATGATTACTTTCAAAACAAACACAAAAAATGACAGTAAAAGTTCTTTAATAAGTTTTGTTTTTACTTTTAAAGCAGCAGTTATTTTCAAAATTCAAAGACACTGACAGTATTGTAATTTTTACTAGTACATGTATTTGATAAAATGGTTTTGTCAAAATTTCATTTCACTAATATTGCCTTTGCTAAATTTTCTCATTTGCTGTAAAACTAGTACTGTTCTTGTAAACAAAAATTACATTAGTTACATAATTATACATTCTATGTTTGAGAATTTGATACAGTAATTTAAATCCAATGAATAATTTCTTTGTAGAATCCATATGATGGACAAAATTATGACGGCCAGAATGATAATATGCATCCTTTTATGAGTATGTATGATTTAATTAACTATTGTTTAATTTAAAGAATGAAGGGAAATACAGAAGTTTGTTGGTGTTTTACACCAAGTTAAGTGACCTTGGCATTTTCATTGCGATCCATTTTGATTGGTGTAAAAAGCTGGGTTATCCAGTGAGGATCGTGACTTTCAGCAGGACAAAAAAAAAGTGAAAGATACCAGAGGGAAATTCAAACTCATAAGTCGAAAATAAACTGACAAAGCCATGGTTAAAAAAGAAAAAAGACCAAAAGACAAATAACAGTACACAAAACACAACATAGAAAACTAAAGATTGAGCAACATAAACCCCACCAAAAATTTGGGGTGATCTCAGGTGCTCCGAAAGGGTAATCAGATCCTGATAACAACTTGTTTTCCATGTCAATTAAGACTGGGGTCAACCACACCTCATAACAAGCCAGGTCAAGCTCAAAACCTCAAGTTGATAGTCTGGTGGTCACTGTAGATGATTACTTGGACCACTCAGCCGCTGAGGCTCTTGAAAGGAGATATAGGTTATGTGTCAATGAGAGAGTAACTAAATGACTAAAAAAGAAGTATCTATTATACTTTGTTACTGATCTAGCATATATTCTGTGTTTATTTGACGAAACAGTTTTTATGCCCCCGCCGTAGGGGAGGGGGCATTAAGTTTTACCCCTGTAAGTCCGTACGTACGTCCCAAAATTGGTTTCTGTTCTCTAACTTGAGTTTGCCTCAAACAAATGTAATGAAACTGATACACAATGCTTATTACCACAAAACACAGATCAAGTTTGAATTTTTGTGGCATCACTTTAACCGTTCTAGAGTTATGCCCCTTTATAAATGGAAAAATTGCTGAATTTTTAGCTTCAGGTTCTTTTAGTTTGCCTCAACCAAATGTTATGAAACTTATACACAATGCTTATTACCACAAAACACAGATAAAGTTTGAATTTTGGTGGCGTCACTTTTGCCGTTCTAGAGTTATGCCCCTCTACAAATGGAAAAATTGCTGAATTTTTCGTTTCCATTCTCTTACTTTAGTTTACCTCAACCAAATGTTATGAAGCTTATACACAATGCTAATTACCACAAAACACAGATCAAGTTCGAATTTTGGTGGCGTTACTTTTGCTGTTCTAGAGTTATGCCCCTCTACAAATGGAAAAATTCAGTGTGTTTCCGTTCTCTGACTTTAGTTTGCCTCAACCAAATGTTATGAAACGTATACACAATGCTTATTACCACAAAACTCAGATCAAGTACAAATTTGGGTAGCGTCACTTTTACTGTTCTTGAGTTATATTCCTTTATAACATTATATGCAAGCGGAGGCATTATCTGTGTCCCATGGACACATTCCATATTTATTTACTGGACGTTCAGTCACAGATTGGAAATTTGTAGATTTAAATAATTTTGATATGTAATAAGGACTCTTCATAGAAACCTTTAACCAGACAGATTTTTTTATACGACCGCAAAAATTTAAAATTTTTTGGTCGTATATTGGTATGACGTTGGCGTCGTCGTCGTCCGTCGTCGTCGTCTGGCGTCGTCCGGCGTCGTCCGAAGACACATTGGTTTTCGCACTCTAACTTTAGTTTAAGTGAATGGATCTCCATGAAATTTTACCATAAGGTTCAATACCACGAAAGGAAGGTTGGGATTGATTTTGGGGGTTATGGTACCAACAGTTAAGGAATTAGGGGCCAAAAAGGGGCCAAAAATAAGCATTTTTGTAACTTCCAGACAATAACTTGAACACTTTTACTGTTCTAGATATGGATCTCTCTGACATTGTACCATAAGGTTCCATATCACAAAGGAAAGGCTGTAATTGATTTTGGGGGTAATTGCCTCAAAATTTTAGGAATTAGGGGCCAAAAAAGGGGAAAAAAACAAGCATTTTTCTAGTTTCATGACAATAACTTGTGTGTAAGTGTTTGGATATTTCAGAAATTGTACTACAAGGTTCCATATCACAAAGGGAAAGCTGGAATAGAGTTTGGGGGTAATTGCCCGAAACGTTTAGGAATTGGGGGCCAAAAAGGGGCCAAAAGTAAGCATTTTTCTAGTTTCCAGACAATAACTTGTGTTCAAGTGTATGGATCTCTCTGAAATTGTACTGCAAGGTACCATACCACAAAGGGAAGGCTGGGATTGAGTTTGGGGGTGATGAATCATATGGGGGTTCAAAAAATTTGGGGGGGGATTTTTTTTTTTCTTTTTTTTTCTTTTTTTCCTTTTTTTTTTCTTTTAAAATTTTCCATTTTAAGTTGGTTATTTCTGATTAATATTTAAAAGCAAATAATAATGATATGGTAGGAGATACACACCAAACAGGATGTGTAAATTATTATCTAATAAGTATTGTGCAATAGCAAGAAATTTTCAATTGCACAGTATTGCACAATAGCAAGAAATCTTCAATTGCACAGTATTGCGCAATAGCAAGAAATCTTCAATTGCACAGTATTGCGCAATAGCAAGAAATATCCAATAGCACAATATTGCGCAATAGCAAGAAATTGTCAATTGTAGAGTATTGCGCAATAGCAAGAAATATTCAATTGCACAGTATTGTGCAAAAGAAGATACTTCGTATAAATTGCTTATTTCTTGATCAATTTCAATGGGGTTTTATTCTTGAATTCTTGGGGTTCTTTAATATGCTGAATATAACCGTGTATTAAGTTTTTGGATTTTGGGCCCCGTTTTTAAATTGGTCCACATTGAGGTCCAAAGGGTCCAAAATTTAACTTTGTTTGATTTCATCAAAAATTGAATTATTGGGGTTCTTTGATATGCTGAATCTAACCGTGTATTTAGATTCTTAATTATTGGTTCCGTTTTCAAATTGGTCTACATTAAGGTCCAAAGGGTCCAAAATTAAACTTAGTTTGATTTTAACAAAAATTGAATTTTTTGGGTTCTTTGATATGCTGAATCTAAACATGTATTTAGATTTTTGATTATGGGCCCAGTTTTCAAGTTGGTCCAAATCGGGGTCCAAAATTAAACTTTGTTTGATTTCAACAAAAATTGAATATATGGGGTTCTTTGATATGCTGAATCTAACCATGTATTTAGATTTTTGATTTTTGGGCCCCATTATCAACTTTGTCCACATTGAGGTCAAAAGGGTCCAAAATTTAACTTTGTTTGATTTCATCAAAAATTGAATTATTGGGGTTCTTTGATATGCCGAATCTAACCGTGTATTTAGATTCTTAATTTTTGGTTCCGTTTTCAAATTGGTCTACATTAAGGTCCAAAGGGTCCAAAATTAAACTTAGTTTGATTTTAACAAAAATTGAATTTTTAGGGTTCTTTGATATGCTGAATCTAAACATGTATTTAGATTTTTGATTATGGGCCCAGTTTTCAAGTTGGTCCAAATCGGGGTCCAAAATTAAACTTTGTTTGATTTCATCAAAAATTGAATTCTTGGGGTTCTTTGATATGCTGAATCTAACCATGTATTTAGATTTTGGATATTGGACCATAATAGGTGAATGTCCAATTTAAAATTTTTAAGTTCTTAGACCACATTCATTCTGTGTCAGAAACCTATGCTGTGTCAAATATTTAATCACAATCCAAATTTTATTTAACTTTTAGCTAATATTCCTAAAATTTTCTGTGTTTTTTTTCTCTTGATATTTAAATAGTAAATATAGTATAGAACCAATGTCTGCCAAGCCTTACTATGCTTTACTGACCTTTTCAAATGACAGAGATACATGTACTTATATAATGACGGCTATCTTTATCATCAGTATCTTTTGGATGTTTTTATCAGTATCTTTTGTATGTTTCAGCTAAAGACCACAGACAACAATATGGACCAGGCATGAATTCACAGCAACAGGTAAGATTCTACATTTCCACATGGTCTATCCCTGTGCCTCCAGGCCTTGCGGTCATAAAACTTTCGAGCACGATTTTCGTACTCAGATTCAGAAAGCAACCAATCAAAATCGTGGATTTGGTGTTTCTAGCACAAATTTTGTACTCCTAGTACTGAGTAAAGTATTATTACCGAGAGCCCTGGTACAGTAAATTCAGAAATGTTTGAGTTTATGGACGTACAATTTTTTCATGTACTTGTAAGCAGACCTTGGCTTAGCCACAAAATCAGATATCCACGAAAATACTATTTCTACGATCCACGAAAATTGGTATCCTTTGAAATAAATAAATTATTGTTTTTTTTAACCAAAAATAGCCAACCATCCCGTAATACCTACTGACCACTCAGTTTGGTCATTTCTAGAATAGACCCTAAAATAAAACATGCTTGTGGGCTTTCTACTATATAGTGTTGTCAAAGGCCTATTGGTGCCCTTGACTATTGACATCTGCTGAAAAGATTCTGACGAAAATCCCAGTAGGGAGCTGTTTACTAAAACAGTGATTTGAAAGTTTTGCCGAATCTAATTAACATAAATATTTATAAATTATCAAAGTCAGTTTCTACAGTAACAGGTTGTACGACATATGTTAACTTTCCACTGTTAAGTTTTGTCTCACTGTATTGTTTCACGTCTCCCAAGCAACATGTATTACGCGAAGAAACGACGTTATTTGCTAGAGGAAGAAATGTTGAGAAGCTTCATTGGCATGGTAAGAATTCTTTTTACGACAACGGGCTTGGTTTTGTTGAAAAACTTGTCAGATTTTTTTTCTTTTGTTCGTCCAGAAGTCACTGCCTACATGTATTTATGTAGGAATTTACAATTTGTGTTCTTATTATTAGAATTAGAAAACAGTTGACTTTTTTGGAAAGAAGTGTTGTAATTAGCCTAGGTCCCTTATGGTCATATAGCTCTTCAAATATTCAGGTATTTATACCCTTTGGCTTTTAGATTTTTGGGTTTAAGGATGTTCGCTCCTCTTGTTTTTGAATTTTTGCCAGATATTCAGAATTCTCTGGTTTTATCCATGAAGGGCCATTAAAAAATTTTGCCCACTAACCCCTACTTTTCTTTTCATAATTTGATTAAATATAGTTTAAAATGCCATCTTTGAAAATCTTATTAAATCCTTGTTATTTTTTCATACTTTTAGTCAGAAAAAAGGTGCCAATGTTAAATGTATGAAAACTCTATAGAGAGAATCATTTCTCGCCAAATTTTCAATGGCTTATATCTCGAAAACAAGCACACGGACCCTTCATTTTTATCTGCTTTTTTAGTTTCCTTTATTTATATACTATTAATTTATATCAGTCTTTTAAAAAGCTTGTTATTTTGAAGCAGAGTAGCGAACATCCTTAAGCATTCCTGATGAAGGCTAATCCAGAAAAGCCATGCTGCTCCGACTCCCCAAATTTTCAAAGTGTTAACTTCATTGACGAATGTTTCTATTAAACTGTAAATTAAGGAATTTTTGCGACAGAATAGATTTTACAAAAATTACAACTCTCATTTTTAAGTATGATAGTATTATTTCAATAGAGCATTTTCTGAAATCGCCATGTGATTCTCTTAAAAGTTAAAAATTTTTGTTTTTCATTCAGATTGATATGTTCAATTATATTTTTAACCTTTTTGAATTTTTTTTTTTGGCACTGTTGTCCCTATAGCGCATTGTCGATTTATAGATACCTCTGGGTAATATTTTTACACTTTCTAAGATGTGTTTAGGCGACTGAGTCCGGTAGCACATTGACAAATTATAGATGTATCGTGATATTGTTTTCTAATTAGTCTCATGTCGTACTGGTCTCAGGTGCAGAACATAGGAGTCCTCATTTTATTATTGTCAATAAACTATCATAGCTTTTCCTGTCAATTTCAACAGAGGGGCCATCTCAGAATGGATTTATTGCATTGAATAAACAAGATTTTTGTTGTTGCAAAAACAGCTTCCCATATGAGCATATGATTGTGGTCTGAATGTCTTTTTATTGAGAAACTGTCATTTTCTGTTATTGGTAGTTGTGATCATGATATAAGATTATTGCACTAATATTGTCCCTTACGTTAAATCATATAGCATGAACTTGCAATAACTCTTTTCCAATATAACACTAAGTATTTCAGCAACATTGATGATATTCCTCCAAATGCTTGCAGTAAGGACGCAATATATACATTTCTACCTTTTTGTTTATCTCTAGTTTTCCTACATGCAAATACCCGATCGTTTTACCCGGAACCTCTCTAGACAGTTCCAAACTTTAAAGAGAAAGTATAGATTACAATATTTTTAATCTGAACAAGATTTATTTTGTTGCCATGTTTAAGGCCTATGTTCACAAATTCCTTCATAAATCAGTCAAATTACACCTTAAAATTTCTTCAAATTTGTAACTTTTGAAGAAAAGTGTGCATTAAACATTAAATTTATACACTTTTGTCACAAACATTACAGTTGTCATGATTAAACAACTGTTTCTAAAGTCAAGCGGTAATGAGGTATAAATCTGTATCATTTCAGTAGTACAATGTATGATATGAAATTCTATTACATTCCTTTCTGAAAGAATTTTGACTTTGAGATGGTCCCCAGCAATGATCAGCCTTAAGCAAGGGACGCAGGTGCCATAGAGAAAGTCTGGATTGATTAGCAAAGCTATGCTGTCTTTTGTTTGTATTCGGAGCTTTGTAAAAACTGTGTAATGAATATAAATATGTAATTTATAACCAGATTCAAAAGGAATTTTATACGGAAGGTGGTTTATGATGAACAAAAATAATGGGATTTTCAAAAGTTATTTAATATCACGAAAAGAAATAATTTTTAAGAAAAATTGATAGGATGAAAATAGTATGAACAAATATAGGTTCTTTTGTTATTCTTAGTAAAGTCATTGACTGAAAAGAAAACAGTATGATGCATAACACTTAAAATTTTGGTGCTAAATTCATTATTAACAGTTTGTGTTTATTAAGCTTTTGCTTACGTTTTACTTTGTAAGTAAATAGATTAGTAGGTAGGCAGATAGGAAATTTACTTTTCTTATTTTTTTCTTAAATGTGAAAGTCCTACTCCTCCCCCAAAAATAGGTAGTTCAGTAAAAAAAAAAATATGAACTTTAGACTATTCATGAATACATATAAAACAATTAAAAGAATTGAGGTCGTTGTGATCCTAATGTAGACACTTTGTTTGGCCTGTGGATTGATCGGTGATTTCATGTTCCTGATATTGGCTAATTTTGAGATAGGAAGTAAAAAATGTTAGCATTCTTTGATGTGATTTTACATGTTTATGTAATAAAAAGATAAACAGCTCTGTACCAATGTAACTGCTGTTCAGGTGTTGAAGTCAACCCCTGGTAGCTTGATGCACTGTATAATTGTTATTATAATCTCATTGAGAATATGCATTTATAAAAAACAAATATACAGAAATAGTTAAAATATATTGTCAGTGTGATTGCTTTAGCTTATCTTTATTTTGTGTTGAGATATTGTCAGTTTGTACTATCAAATTTTTTTTTTTTTTTTATAAATGCTGATCCCCCCCCCCCCCCCCCCCCCTAAAAAAGAAATTGTTTTTGAATCCAGATTTGTACTGCTATATCTTTGATAATGTGCACGTAAAATGAACATCACTCAATTCTTCTATGTAAGCCTTTGGACTGATCCTTAAAAATGTAACAGACTAATCTGCTCCCAAAGAAAGACAACTCTTGTGAAATCATTCAAAGGGAGTTTATTTTCGATGAGGTATATAAAATACCTTGTTCATTTTAAATCAGCTGGCATGTTACCCATTACAAGGGTTGAATTTAATGGAAAGAAAGTTGAACAGAAGACACCTGGCATTGTGTAAATACTTTGGCACATTGATCGCACCTGGAATACTATAAATCATGGATATTATTTATGTAAAACTTGCAGAATATTTATTATGAATATTTTTTTAGATGTTTTTTTATTGATTATGATGAATTTGAAGTATTTAGAACCACAGATGTTAAATTGTGAAATTTTGGTCCTCCACGTTCTTCAACTTCGTACTTTATTTTGCATTTGAAACTTATTTGATTTAAGTGTCATTTATGAGTCTTTTGTATACAGCATGTCTGCTGTATAAAATTTTGTGGTATCTATGATGAGTTTATTCAAGACATTTTCCATGTTAGGAAATAGTTGTTACCTGCACTTCTAGAATCTAGGCTATATTGCATTCACCTGGTCTGTTGTTGGTTCTACAAATATTTCCATCACACTTTTCTTCTGAAAACAAGGAATTATATGAATCAGGAATAATTATGAATTCTGGAAAATTGATTAGAAATGTATGGTGAAAACTAACCCAACTAAATAGGGTTAGCGAAAGTTAAATTTTACTTCCACTGATTATTCAGTATGAACTAACTAACCCCCATTAGCCATGCGAGCATGCATGGCTAACCCTTCTAAATTATGTTAGTTTTCATCATACATTTCTTATCAATTAGCAGAATTCAAAATTATTCCAGATTCAAATAATTCTTTGTTAAAACAGAATTCAAATAATTCTTTGTTAAAACAGAATGATTTCATATCAGCAGTTCTCATGAAACTTTGGTGAATTATTTATAGCTATTGATGTAATCTCCGTAAACTTCATAAATTTCAAATATGACATTGAGAAGAAATTGAACTTTATTTGTTTATAGTCTGACAACAGATTTACTAAGTATTGCGCAACAGCACAGTGTATTGCACAACAGCAAGAAATCTTTAATTGAATATAAATTCAATTCATATAACCAATTCAAGTTCTTTGACTACATTTATTCAGAAACCTATATGTCAAATATTTAATTACAATCCAAATTCAGACCTGTATCAAGCTTGAATATTGTGTCCATTTTTGCCCCAACTGTTCAGGGTTGGACCTCTGCGGGCGTATCCAGCTGCGCTCAGCGAAGCAGTTTATTGATCCTGTGAAGACACCTACTCCCTGCTTTCCAGTACTTTAATTTATGAGTGGGGTATGCTTAGCCGGACATCCTGTGCATTCTTAGTTCATTGTAATTTGGCATTGCTAGTATTTATGGCTTGTAAATTAAAAGGATGGGGTGTAAATTACTAAGAATTATCATGATTATGTCCTTCATTTAGAAGATGGGTCTTTTCCTTCATTTTGAAGATAATCTTTAAATGAATTGCCTTGTTCGTATTATATGTATTATAGAGAAGACACAAAAATTGATTTTTGCTATGCATTACAGTGCAAAGCTATTGGTTTAATTTGATAATGACGCCATCTTGAAATTATAACTTACCAAATATCGGTTCTGATTGGTTGCCTCATAATGTGGCTGAGGTTCTATTGGCTACTTGGGAACATGTCCTGGACAAGACAAGATGTAAAAGACAGAATAAAATTACAGTATGGGTATTCAAGACTCAATCAACAATAATTGCTTCATGCTGATGTAATTTATGGTACTGGGAAGCACTTCGACCTTTTTAGAAAGGTTAAACTTGTCAAGTCTTGGTTTGACACTAATTAAAATTTACCTTAGGAGTCTTTTATTAATGGCAAGGATACTTGGGAGAGACATCATAGTAGTAGTTTACTGTAAACAAACTCATTTTTCGCGACCTTTCACCAGTAGAAAAATAACGCTTATTAAAATGGTTGCAAACATGTGAACTTGGATCTGCCCTTATATAAATATATCAAGAAAATGAGAACCTCATGAAAATAAATCGCTGCAAAGTTGGCTAGAAAGAACTAAATAGGAACCAAAGTATATGTGAAAATAAGTTGGTTAACAGTACTTGATGCAAGATAATTTGTAAAATCAGGTACATGTAGACTTGAGTCATTACATTTATTAATTTTGAAAAAGTTTAATTTAGACTTGAGAATGTATATATTGCAATGTTTATGTAAAAGGAGTTGTCAATTTATTTTTCTTTATTTTCAGGGAATGATGGGTAACAATATGCCGATGTCACCTGACACCCTGTCACCTGGAGGTAAAGCTGCATTCTTCCGAGGCATGTGTTCTACCCTTACTACCTAAAATGGACTAACCCTTAACTTTTATGTGGTACTAACCATTGTGGTGGTGGGGGAGTTCAGGTTTAATCCTCCTTGTTATTTTATCCCTTAAACTTCAGTTTACAGAATTTCACAATTAGTTTCATCAGATTATTTTAAGGTATATATGCTGAGCATTAAATGTTAAGGTAATAATATATGTTGTCCTCTGGTTATTTTTATGGTGAGTTTGCTGTCCTTGATATATTACCTTAATCTCATTTAATTCATCATATTTGTCCAATTAATGATTAATATAGTAATTTTTAGGGCTTTATTTTGACAATGTTCCACAGAAAGGTTCATTTTGGGAGTGTTTAGGGTAAATATGTTTGGGGATCAAATATATCTTTGAAATGTGGACATAAAAAGAAATTTACTCAACTCTACTGTCACCATAACTGTGTAAGCTAATCGACTGATCCCTACATATAAGCAGACTCAATCTGCTCCCAAGAAAGACAACTCTTGCAAAATCACTCAAAAGGAACAATTGAGTTAGTTGATGGTATTAAAATTATGTCATAGTTCACCAAGGTCATTAAATTATACCTTTGAGTGAGGTGTGTAAAAGATGGGGGGATAAGCAATTACTTTGTCTTATTGGTTGTCCGGCCAACACCAATCTTTCGTCACACTTTTCTTTCGAAATTACAGAATGACTTCATTGTGCACTATTTGGATCTGTCAGACTCCTACTTCCTGTTTTTCAATACTGTGGATTCATTTATTTTCGTGAGTACCAATTTTCGTGGTTTGAGAAAAACTTGCATTTTCGTGGATATTTGATTTCTTGGTTATGCCAAAGTTGGCATACAACCTGATGAAATATTTGTTATTCGTTGAATTTTTAAATTCGTGGTTCACCTGTACCAACGAAATCCACGAAAATTGGTATCCAACGAATGATAATGAATCCACATTACTTGAATTATGAGTGGGCCATGCTTAGCAAGACAACACATGCATTCTAGTTCCTACTTCACATGCAAATTGTTCGAACATCTACAAGAAATGTTCAAAATTGAAATGTTTTTGTTTACATTGTAATAACTGTTGAAGAAAATTTTATTGAGGCAGATGGTTTGGATTGGAAGTGTTTATTTAATTTACACAATTCCATCTGCTACATTCCTGTATATGGTTCAAGATATTTATGTGTGTTTGCCTTTAAGTGTGAGACGAGGAATCAGACGTGACCAAAAGCATGGTCAATAATCTTATGGGCATTTATTTACTTTAATGGCCTTGTACTTTGGGTCAAATTCAGTTTGAGGTTAGGGTTAGGTTAGTGTTTGCTTTATGTTCCCAGTGTTTTACATAGATATAGGAAGATGTGGTATGAGTGCCAATGAGACAACTCTCCATCCAAGTTACAATTTATTAAAGTAAACCATTATAGGTCAAAGTACGGCCTTCAACACGGAGCATTGGCTCACATGTACACCGAACAGCAAGCTATAAAGGACCCCAAAAAATTACTAGTGTAAAACCATTCAAACGGGAAAACCAACGGTCTAATCTATATAAAAACGAGAAACACGTAGGAACTACATAAACAGACGACAACTACTGTAATCAGATTCCTGACTTAGGACAGGTGCAAACATTTGCAGCGGGATTAAACATTCATGCCAACAATGGGGGTGGGGGGCAGAGTTTGGCAAGACTGAAGCTTCAAAATGGAATTGTTAGTCCACTTGCATAACTTTCCTTCCTATGGTCATGAAGATATTTAAGCGATTAGAATCTTCCGCACTGATGAAACTAATTATGAAATTCTGTAAAATATATTAAACCAGATGTTGTAAATTTGTATATTTTATCTTATTGTTGTTTATTTTTGAATTCTGCATACATAAAAGGTACTGTTTTCTGCCTCCCTACCTATCCTAAATGTTCATGCATACCTAGAGGGGTATTTTATTTTGGATGACATTTTTGGTGAAGCACCATTAAAATCCAGAGCATTTCCCAATATACATTTAGTCATAATGTTAAATATATTTATGCCCCAGCTAGGGGCATTATGTTTTTTCGGTCTGTGCGTCCGTTCGTTCGTTCTTTAGTCAGTCTGTCCGTCTGTCACGCTTCAGGTTAAAGTTTTTGGTCAAGGTAATTTTTATACGCCCGTTTTGCGGGACGTATTATGGTATACCGTTGTCCGTCTGTCCGTCGTCAACATGTCGGACATTAACTCAAAAATGCTTTAACCAATTTGCATGAAACTTTGGTGAATTGTTTATATCAATTGACGTGAGCTCCCTTTGGTTTTTTTAAATTTAGATATTACGTTTCCGAGTTATGGGGTTTTATTCATTTTAAAAAGGGGGATTTTCCAGTTTTCGGACAATAAGTCAAGAATGCTTTCACCAACTTGCAAGAAATTGTGGTGAATTGTTTATATCTATTAACATGAGCTCCCTTTCGATTATTATAAATTTTAGATTTTACGTTTCCGAGTTGCAGGGTTTTATTCATAAAAAAGGGGGGATTTTCCAGTTTTCTGACAAAAACTCAAAAATGCTTTCAGCAATTCTTATGAAACTTTGGTGAATTGTTTGTATGTATTGATGTAAGCTCCCTTTAGAATTTTATAAATTTTACATTTTACATTTCTGAGTTATGGGGTTTTATTCATTAAAAAAAGGGGTGATTTTCCAGTTTTCAGACAATAACTCAAAAATGCTGTCACCAATTCTCATGAAACTTTGGTGAATTGTTTATATCTATTGATGTAAGCTCCCTTTTTATTTTCATAAATTTCTAATATGACATTGAGAATTAATTGAACTTTATTTGTTTATAGTCTGACAACAGATTTACTAAGTATTGCACAACAGCAAGAAATCTTTTATAACCAATTTCAAGTTGTTTGACTACATTTATTCAGAAACCTATAATATGTCAAATATTTAATTACAATCCAAATTACATTTATTCAGAAACCTATAATATGTCAAATATTTAATTACAATCCAAATTCAGACCTGAATCAAGCTTGAATATTGTGTCCATTTTTGCCCCAACTGTTCAGGGTTGGACCTCTGCGGGCGTATCTAGCTGCGCTCAGCGAAGCAGTTTATTGATGAAGTTGAAGTCCAATCAACTTGAAACTCAGTACACAGGTTCCCTATGATATGATCTTTCTAATTTTAATGCCAAATTAGAGTTTTGACCCCAATTTCACGGTCCACTGAACATAGAAAATGATAGTGCGAGTGGGGCATCCATGTACTATGGCCACATTCTTGTTTGTCAAGAGGCAGGAAACAAGAGAATATTATTAGTTTGCCTAAATACTAAAATTTGCCTTCTTTGGTATGGCAAACATCAACTTTTATTGCAGACTTTAAATATTTTTGTGTTTTTATGCCCCCGCTGTATCGGAGGGGGGCATTAAGTTTTACCCTTGTCCGTCTGTAAGTCCCGAATTTGGTTTCCGTTCTCTAACTTTTAGTTTGCCTTAATCAAATGTTATGAAACTTATACACAATGCTTATTACTACAAAACTCAGATCAAGTAAGAATTTGGGTAGCGTCACTTTTACCGTTCTTGAGTTATGTCCCTTTATAATGTTATATGCAAGCGGGGACATCATCTGTGTCCATGCATGAACACATTTCCCATTTATTTTACATACATATGATAAAAGTTGTTTGTTATTCAATTTCAAGGTTTTAATGAGGTAAGATCAGTGGTAATAATTTGTCTAAAACTATGTTGTTCTCTAATATAAAAATAAGGAGATGTGAAATGATTACCAACAAGACAACTAGCTATAAAGTTCAAACGTTGAATATCTTACTTTGCATGTGAAAGAACCCTTGCTAAAACTTTCTGAGGTTAGCAATTGCATTATAACTTATGCCATATATTTGTTTCCAGGACGACGGCAAAGTGGTCACAGTGCTCCAGGAAAACGATCAAAGGTATGTTGATTAATTTTTTCACCGATGATACATTGTAGTTTCATTTGAAGAGCAGAGTCAGGGATAAAATTGGAACCGACAGCTCATTGATTTTAACCAAAGAAGTGTTTATTAAATACAATTAAGAAAAGATGTGTGAAGTATTTTTTTATGTCGTTGAGGATGCAGCTGATTTAAATTTGTTTTGTAATTATACCCCCTCTAGGAAATGGTGCTATATTTTTATGTTTATACCCATTGGTCTTAATAATTCCTTCACGCTTTTTTCAGTGGACCATTATCTTCGTGAAATGCACATGTCATATTCTATATTTACAATTGTTTGTTGATGAAAGGTAAATTAGCAAGGTCAGATCAGTTTAAAAGTTTGAAAAGTTAACACCAGGAGTTCAAATTTGCTTTAAATAATGAAAGGTCCAGGATTATTTAAAATTTTAAGTGAAGGGTCCTCCATAAGAAATCAATGGTCGTGTATCAAGTTTCAGTGTAAAGAATGGTAGGTCCTTGATTTTTGTAATTTAAAAATGAGAAGTCCTCTCCTTGAAAACACAGGTCCTGAACCTCGGACCCACACTAATTTGAACCCTCAACAATGGGTAAACAAAGATTTGTGCAAATGTTAACATAAATTGGTCTTCATAAGATGGATTCAATTAAAGATTTTTTCTGATTTCATACAAGTAAACAGGGTGTCAAAGATTTGCTGCTATTCATTAAGGTTGTAACTAATGTTACCTTTGTTTACGTAACGCCTTTGTACACGCATGTTGCCTTGTGCGCAACTCATCATTACATCAATACAATTTGTATGAACCACACGTCTTATTAATCAAAGCGAAGTGCTAGCCACAACCTTCAAGATACAGGGAGGGAGTCTAACTGTAAATTGTCAGGTTGCTCTGTATCTCTTGTTCAGTTTTAGCACCTGCTGCAAAATGTCATCTTCAGGGTTATTTAAAAAAAAAAAAAAAAAATCGTTTTAAAATGGTAAGAATCACACTTTAGCTTTCCAAAGGTTATACAGTATCAGTGAGGTCCAGTATTTAAGTCTGTTTAAACCCAAATGAGAGACGAAAAACACTCTCTGGCAGTTCTACCCTGTTGACATTTGTATATAAAAAGGGGCCTAGGCAGGCCGAGTGGTCTAAGTAGTCAAACTACTGTTTCACTAGCCTGTCAACACTGAAGTTGTGAGTTTGAATCCAGCACGTGGCAGGTGCGTTCAACTCTAATCCTAATTAACTAGGATTGTTAACTAGGATTGTCAGTTTTTCTCCGTGCCCTCTGGCATCCTTCACCCATAAAAACTGACTGCCACGAAAATAGCACAATAGTGCTAAAAGGGGCATTAAACACAAATCAATCAAGTCAGATCACTAATATAAAGATCTATTTTTCCCAATCTTAAGTCATATGTGGGAATGATAAGTTTCCCTTCAGACTAAAAAAGTCTACAGGTAAAATTGAGAATGGAAATGGGGAATGTGTCAAAGAGACAACAACCCGATAGTAGAGCAGACAACAGCCGAAGGCCACCAATGGGTCTTCAATGCAGCAAGAAACTCCCGCACCCGGAGGTGTCCTTCAGCTGGCCCCTAAACAAATATGTATACTAGGTACATGTTGTGTAGTTTTGCAAACGTAATTCCAATGACCCTCCATATTTTTGCAGGAGATGCACATGTTATCATATTCTCTTTTTATGATTGTTTGTAGAGGTAAGGTAAAGTAGTGAGGTCAGACCCATTCTTTTTATACACCTGTTTACGGGACGTATTATGGTATAACGTTGTCTGTCCGTCCGTTGTCAACATGTCGGACAATAACTCAAAATGCTTTAACCAATTTTCATGAAACTTTAGTGAATATGTATCTGTTTCCGAGTTATTTGGTTTTATTTATAAGAAAAGGGGGATTTTCCAGTTTTTGGACAATAACTCAAAGATCTCCCTTTTCTTTTTTTAAATTTCTGATATGACTTTGAGGAGTTATGGAACTTTATTCGTTGAAAAAGCGACAGGCGTATCATGTGCTCATGTTGCAGCTCTTTATTTCAATATATTGAAATGAAAACACCCTTGATCTATAAAAAAATTGTGTCCACTTTTTAAGATCGATTCAAATAGAGATCTGTTCAGTTTCATACAATTGTAAACAGAAAGTGAGTCTAACTGTCAAATGTCAGGTTGCTCTGTATCTCTGTGCATTTTAGCACCTGCAGCAAAATGTCATCTTCAGGGTTATTTTTGATGTATTTTTATTTATTTTTTCTTATTTTAAAATGATTAGATTAACAGTTTTGCTTTCCAAAGGTTATTCATTGACAGTGTTGTTCCATATTTTAGTCTAAATAAATTCTCAGTTTAGCAATGTTTACGATAGTTGTTGCTCCTGTGGTGAGATGAATTATCATTGAATTGGTCTCTTTCTTTAAATTTACTGTAAAAATAAAGTTAAAATCATTCAAAACATTTAATTACTGGTAAGGATGATCGTTCCTCTGATTCAAAATAACTAACTTTTGAAAAGACTTGTTATGAATTGATAGTATATTAATAACGGGCAAACTTTCATAGGCACTACATGGATAAAACTAGAGGATTCCAAATATCTGACAAAAAGTCAAAAACAAGAGTAACAAACATACTCAAGTTAATTACCGCCTGGCATAGATAGTCTCGACTAGATTTGCATTTTGGGAATTTTAGGTTTTCAGTACTTTTGTCTTTTCAACCATTTATGATTTATTTGGGCTTCCAATTGGGTCAAGATGCACAATTTATTTCAGGTAGGTGGTAACGGTAGCCTTTTCCTCAATTTCTCTGCCCATATCGTAAACATGGATATGTCTGATGGCTCATTTCGAAGCTGAGACATTTCACATATGTGGTTAAATTTTCTGGGTATAAAGTGAGATTCATTTTTCCACTATTTAGATCACACCCGAAAGGCCTTTGGTGATGCAGCTTCTTGAGGTAGAAAATCCCTTTTTTCGCACAATAAGTTCTTTGAAAATTTAGTTCTTTGCATACATTTAATAACTCCATAGTGTTATACCTTTATTCTATGGTCCTCAGCTCTCTAAATCAGCACAAATGGTTAAACTCAGTCTCTTGTTAAAAATAGAAACATGTCCAATATCACTACACAGAGATTTTTTGTTTACGCACTACTTTTGAGTTCCTCAATTTGAGGCGCATTAGGGATATTGACCCAACTGTTCAGATTTAAGCACTAATTGTGTGTCTTATGTAGACACAAGGGGTAGTACATAGGATATGTGATAATTTTTTGCATACCGTTTTGAATTGGTAGTATTGTCTTTTACCATGCTAAGCAGTTTATATATGCTGAAAAAATATGTTTATATGTTCGAATTTTTTTTTTATTTTGCTCTGAATCTCTCACATATGGTTACAACTTGTAGGAGCAAAAAAAGAGAATAATGTTGTGAAGTCGCCTAGAAAGGACTAAATGCTGCATAAAAAGTATCCCTCAATATATGTTGATTTAAAAATTGCATTAGCTGGATATAAAGACCTTATTTATGGAGATTGTATAATTCAATTTTAATTAAATTGCTTTTTAAATATTGCTAATTAAAAAATATTTTAAAAGTTTCAATTTTTAAAATAAATGTCCCTAATCAGTCAAATAAGGTCGGAAATTGTTATTTTTTTTTTACCATCTTTTGTGCTTTGAACAGAACCTTTATCTAGATATAAGAAGATGTGGTATCAGTGCCAATGAGACAACTCTCCATCCAGGTCAAAATTTATAAAAGTAAACCATTATAGGTCAAAGTACGGTCTTCAACACAGAGACTTGACTCACACCGAAACACAAGCTATAAACGGCCCCAAAAATTACTAGTGTAAAACCATTCAAACGGGAAAACCAACAACTCTACCAACAGATCAGAGAGTTTACAAATTATTGATCAGTGTTAATGAAAATTTGTCTGACAAAAAAGACTGTTTTGTTATTTTATTTTTTCGTTGAGAACTTTCAGGGAATGTAAAGTATTAAAATATTGAAAATTTGTCTGAAAAAAGACTTCTTTTATTTTTTTCATGTTTTTGATAACTTTCAGGGAACGTTGAGGATAAAAGTATATTTTAAAGTAAAGTCAATATGATTATTTAAAGAAGAAAACAGAGTTGAATGCATCATTATGATAGATAACAAATAATTATTTTTTTTTGGAAAAAGCAAATACAAAATAAGGTATTATTGCCTGGATATGTTTGACCTTACATTGAGGTTAAATCTATTTCAATGTTTGTGTGTATTTAGATTTTTATACTTAAAAAACAAGATTGACCAATCAGAGGACAGGCACCTGTTCCATGGTTCAGAGGCTATCGATTCTAAGGTAACAGATGGTCAGATGTAGTTACCTAGTTATTTACTTTATCTAAAACATCTATGGGACCTAGGGTGAGGATTGGTCATGGTTGACTGGACAGAAGAGGTCCCTTAGGCAAGGATGATTAAAATAAATACCTAATTCAAAAAGATTTGTAAATTGATATCAGGTTTAAAAGTTGGGAAAATTGTCTGGAAATTATTTTCAATAGGAGATAATTCTCCACTTTATATATAAAAATGCAAATCTTTTGAAACTAAGGAAGATTTTTTAGAAATCCCTAAAAAAAATATTATAATTTGAAAATTAATACCCCCCTTTTGTGAACCTCCCATAGTTCAGTTTACAGTTCGTCTCTCCATGTAATTATTTAAATAGATTTATAATAAAGACAATTGACCATGTCCCTGTCTTCTTTATGATAGGATAAAATGATAAATGAAAATAAATTTTAAATAAAAACAGAAAACACTAAACCAAATCCTTTGTTCAGTTTTATGTGGTTTTTAAAAAGGAAGGTCCTTTGTGCTGAAATTATACCACCAGAAATTTGAAGATAAATGTATTCTTGGAATGGTTTTGAGCTGTTGAAGATGAAAAAGTGGCTTTTGTGTTGAAATGTATGCCATCA